GTGCATTCGTCAAAGAATGACGCCGGTCATCTAGGTTCGCGCCCCTGAAGTAAATATGCCGGGCTGTATTTTGTGGAGTCTGACGAAGCTGTATTGATCGCCAGCATGATCTCCGGTAGCAGTTCGTCCCACGTGGTGTGTTGTTCCTGTACTAGTTGGGACATGAGGGTTTTCACTGTCCGATTTGTGCGTTCCGTCGGATTTTCTTGCGGCGTGTATGGTGCTGTGAGCTGGTGTTTCACATTAATTTTCTCCAGCCACCCTTTGAACAAATTACTGATGAATTGTGGCCCATTGTCGGTGATGACAATCTTTGGGGCTCCGAATCTCGCCAATACCCTTTCTCTAAATGCCCTGATGGTATTTTCACTGGTGGCGCGACGCATGGCAATGAGTTTCGTCCATTTGGAGAATTTGTCCACTATTACCAATAGCATGGTATTTCCTGATTTAGACCGTGGTAAGGGTCCAATGAAGTCAGCGGACACTACAGCGAATGGTTCGTTTGGGACGGTTGATAGCATCAATCCTGCTGGTTTATTTAGATTTGGCTTGTATTTTTGACATGATTCACAAGCCTTGACATGTCTAGCAATATCTCGTGACATTCCCGGCCAGTAGTATTGGTTTTGCACTCTCGTGATCGTCTTCCGAATCCCAAAGTGTACGTTGTCATGATTTTCCTGGATTATACGTGTCCGCAGGGGTTTGGGTATGCATAACCTCCAACTGTTGTCCTGGTACTTTGTTGTGTCCTTGGGCAGATGTCTATACAGTTAATTATTACAAACAGTGTAGTCGGGATTCTGTTGTGGATCACGCTTGAGCTCTTCCAACCGCTTTTGATACCATTTGTCCTCATGCCTGCTCTTGGAATCTGCTTGGATCTGCCTTAGTATTTCCGTTGGTTGACGTGAAAGAGCATCGGTCACCACATTGAGTTTCCCTCGGCGATACTGGACATCAAAGCTGTATTGTTGGAGTTCAAGATATGGTGGATGCGCGGAAGGGGGTAGGCGTCCGGTACTGAGTTGTTATTTAGTTGACGGTAGTCAATGCAAAACCGCCAGTCGCCATTCTTCTTCTTGACTAGTACTACTGGAGAACTGTAGGGACTTCGCGACGGCTCTATACACCCTCTGTGTAATAATTCGTCAACCTTGTTGTTGATGACCTGCTGCATGGCCGGGTTTTTGGGGTAGTACCTTTGCTTAATGGGGCGATCGTCCTTCATCACTATCTTATGGGTAGTGATGTTTGATACGCCGGACATGTTACTGAAACCCTCCAATTCCTCTGCTAAGCCTGTGTTGATTTCCTCAGTTTCTTCCCCTTTGGTCAACCGGAGTGTAGGGGATTGTAATTGCAGTGTTCGTACCTTTGGTTCACTTACTGTGATACTCGCTCCTCCAATAGTTATCGTGGTTCCAATTGCTTGGCAAAAGTCCATGCCTAAAATTATGTCGTCTGTACTTTCGTCTAATACCAATAGCCGTGTTTGAATGGTGTCATCTCCTAGTCGTAACGCTACCTCTGCATCCCAGGTAAGATCACGCGTTGTGTTGTCGGCCATTCGAACTCTAGTAGTGGTCCGAAATTCCCGAGTTCTTAGTTGTAAATTTTCTGCAAGAGTCCGACTGATGAAACTTCGTGAGGCACCAGTATCTATGGTGGCTTCTAGCGTATAAGTATCTAAATGTACGGTGGCCATTACTTGGACCTCCTTTAGGTAGAATGGTTGTTTGTCATGTGCGCAGGGTTTTTGTCGGTAGGAGTCACTGTCCCCGCGATGGAGTGCTCCTGATTGCCGTTTCCCGAATATTTCCGGCAGCAGTCCACGGTCCGTATGTTCTTTAATCCACATACCCAGCAGAAGAGTATCCGTCGCCCTTGGCATCTCTTAGCGAGGTGTCCATAATGCCCACATCGACGACAGGCCAGGTTGGGATTGACTATTTTGTCGGTCTGGATCTTTACAATGTGGTTACGCTCTTCGCGAACTTTATGGTGATTGGATTTCTCCTGTTCCAGACGAAGTATCTCGAAATCTTCGGCCAGCGCAACTAGTTCATCCAGGCTTGCGAAGTCGCGACGCTTAATATACATCTGGTAATCCGTGCCAGAGTTCCGATAAATTCGGTCCAGTTGTTGACACATGTCGAGGCCGGCATGACGCATTAGGTCCTGCATAACGATGACGAAATCTTTGAACCCCTCACGTTGCTTTTGCTTGCGGGCACGAATCTCGTCCTCTAATTTTTCGAAGTATCGCATCGGTAGGAAGCATTTGAGAAAATCGGCCTTAAATGTAGACCATAGTTTCCATTGCCTGTTGTTGTTACGATACCAAATCAGTGCCTTGTCTCTTAATAACTCTGGCATGGTCCGTGGCATTGGATTTACGTTAATACCATATACGTCGGCCAATTCTTCAATCCTTTCTATAAACATAAGTAGGTCCTTACCACCATCATACTTGATGGCCCACTTCCTAACTTGCTCCATGGTTTGTGTAATAGGTGGGAGTACGATCTGCACCTCGTTATTAGGCTCTTGTACTGTTGGCATCGTTTTGATGTGTTTTCGTGCGAGCTCCCACAACATTTCTCTTCTTGCCATATCATAGTCCTCTTCCTCAATATATGCCGCCAGCCTGCGTCGAAGTTCCTCTACAGAACCGGTTTTACCCAATTCCATTTCGTCCAAGTAATGGATGAGCTCCTCCTTTCGTAGGTTGTATAACCACGACTTGCTGGGAGTAGGAGGTCTTCGAGATTCTTGGTCACTGGTCACCTTTAAATCCACCGACATCACTAATCTTGGTTTTCTTTCCTGTTTGGTTTATTCTCGAACTCAGGTCCCTGCTCGGGCGCCAATTGTAACGACACGGATTTGTCGTTTTAAAATTTGCTGAGGTATTACTCAATCGTGGTCCGGGTCGTTGCAATAAATTTGGTTTTATTGACCAGTTCGAAGCTGGTAAACCAAGGAAAGTTAAAAAAAGAACGTTTGTTATTTTAAACAAAAACTTTATTTATTAAAAAGATTTCTTTAATAATTTAATCTTGACTCTACTCAATAATTTTTACCCAAAGACGTCAGAACATCAAATGGTTTTTTCCAAATCTACGCAATTAATTTTTAGCCAAAGACGTCAAAACATCAAAGGCGTTATACAATCTACTTAATACCTTCTACTGATTTATTAAGCCTTAGCGTCGAAACACCATGGACTTCTAAAAAAAAGACTTAGCGCTGGAGTAGAGTACTACTCGTTTCGGTGTGCCGGTGCTAAGTGATCTTTCATATAAAATCTCCGCTATTTATATACGACACTTTGCTTTGCTTAATAGCACGCACAACCGCACAAATATAATTCGCTGTCAGCTTTGTTCTGCTTGTCGTGTGTGCGGGTGTTCGCGGTTGGCTTTGTTTTGTGTGTCGTTTGTGCGTATGTTCGCGGTTGGCTTTGTTTATTTGTTTAAATAATTTTTACGTAGACGAAATTTTTATAACTATTGTTTTCTTTTATTCAAAATAAAATCTAAAAATAACTCTAGCCTAAATATAGTCACTTCATTTCATATAAACATTAATTTTGTATAAAAATAACTTATGTCTAGCAATTCATTTCATATAAACATTAACTTTGTATAAAAATAACTTATGTCTAGCAATTCATTTCATATAAACATTAACTTCGTATAAAAATATATATATATAAATTAAATTTTTATTTATGCATATATGTACATATTTTAAGGTAAATAAAATTTACTTTATAAGATCAATTTTATTTTTACTTCAAAAATTAATCATTACACAACTTAGCAAAAATTTTTTAATGTGTGAATCGTACAACTGAAAGTTTTTAATTGTTGCTTCGTATCCAAATAAAAATACCTTTCTAGTTTTTGAATCCTATTTCTTTTGACTCATTTGTTTCCTAATTTGCATAAAGTACTCTGTTCCAAAAATTTTAAAGTGACCCAAATATGGTTTTTTACCGAACCATTTTTCATACGGTGTTGTACCGATACATTTGCTGTTTGTAGTGCGTTTCAATAAATATGCAGCTGTATTCACTGCTTCTGGCCATAACATTTTTGGTAATCTACAGCAATTAAAATTGTCCTTGCACTTTCTTGCACAGTACGATTATCTCGTTCAATTTAACCATTTTGTTCTGGAGTGTAAGCGGTTATAAAAAAAATTTCGTTCTCTGACATTGAGCAACTGCTGGTATTAGAATACCCTTATTCTTTAACAAATTTTGTGCCTCATGATTCACAAATTCAGTTCTACTGTCAAAACGAAAATTTTTAATATGTGTATCATAAACATTTTTAACCATACCAATGAACGAATTTAAACAGTCAAATACTTTATCTTTGGATTTAAGTAAGTATGTATGACGGAACGTAGTTGCTTCACCTTTAATTAACATAAAACAACGTATACCTCTAACTCCAATCTCTTCCATTGGTCCACATAGATCTACGTACATAAACTCACCCTTTTCTGATTGTCGCACCAATGACAGTTTATGTGTTGAACTTGTCATTTTTCCATACCGACAATCTTCATAAAAAAAATTTCGTTCTCTGACATTGAGCAACTGCTGGTATTGAGCAACTGAACTATCTTTGCACATTTTTTTAATTGAATCAACGATTATGTGACCCAAACGTCTGTGCCAGTAATGTTGTGAGACAGTTTCAACTTTTACTCGTTCGTTTATGCGTAAACGAAAATTCATTTTTAGTTGATTCAACTCACAGCGTATACCAACTGCAACGACATTGTTTGATTTATCAATAATCTGGCATCTTAGATTATCTATTAGAACTTTGACACCTTAATCTGTCAAAAGCGCTGCTGAAAATAAATTTTGTTTAATATTCGGAACATAAAGTACATTCTCTAAACGACGTGGCTCCCACTGATTGCTTACTCTCGCATCAATCAATACTGTACCTATTCCACTTATTTTCAAATTTTCAGTTGTTAGCAGCTTTGACCATATTACCACCATTATCTTTTCTCAGTTCTGTAAACCATTCATGATGAAATGTCATATGACTTGACGCACCTGAGTCTGCATACCAAGAGTTTGATTCGTTTTCGTCACTATATTCAACGGTACACCATGTTAATTCATTTTTATCTTTATTTTTACTACATTTACCATTATCTTTTTGGTATTTGTTTGGAAAATTTTTATATTTGGGACACACTTTGTCCTTTGTCCAATGACATTTTGGCCACACGAATTACACTTGGTTTTCTTTTTCAAAATATCAATTTTTGATAAACTCAACTTTGATGCAACTTTCTTTAATTGAATTTTTACATTAAAAGCAACATCAACTGATGAAGCTTTTTCACCACTAATTCGATTTAAACTCTCCTCTTCTAACCGTAACGACGACATTAGAGTATTCATTTTACGCGTGTCATATGTATTGTACCAGGTGGTTTTATAATGGTTGAATCTAACTGACAAACTGCTAATAATGTGAACCACTTTCAATTTGTCCGACAATTTCTCACCTTGTTGTTCAATTTCTGATGCTAACTGATTAACTTTTGCAACATAACCTGTCACGGTTTCATCATCTTTCATTTTCAATGAAAAATATTCCTCATAAAGAGTCTTGAAACGAATTTCGGAATTCTTTTCATAAATGTTACTCAATTTATCCATCATTTCTTTTAGTGTTGTGCATGTTAACACAAAATTCGATCGTTCAACATCTAACGGTTGAATAATAGCATTCATAGGTCTTCCTTCATTTCTTTCGTATAGTTCTTTAAATTTTTCCTCTGTATTTGAAGCGGGAACTATACCCTCTATATTTTTCATTAAACCCTTTGCCTTCATATGGGTATGCTGTGATTTGGAACTTCCATAATCAATAATTCGATCCATTCAGAATGTGACCACTGAAATTATTATCTTCCTTGTTTAAATTTCAATAAATTTTCTCAAAAATTTTCTCAAAATTTGTGATGAAAATTTTGATGATGAAGAGATAAAAGGAACTTTCATACTGATGCGAGACAGTTATGAAGAAATCTTAGAAGAAATAGCTATAAAATACGACGAAAATATAGCAACTGAACACTAAAATCCAACTCGATTAGAAGACATAAGGTTACCCAGTTTTAATGGAACAGTGGATAATTGGAACTTTTTCCAGGAAATATTTTCAAAATTAGTAGATGGTAACAAGATGTTATCTAACGTTGAAAAATTTTACCGACTAAAAACCACCAAAAAAAGGGGATGTTGCACGGCTAATTCAACATTTTCAAGTAACGGGAGAAAATTACGATGCAGCATGGACAATATTAGAGAATAGATATAATAACAGAAGATTATTGTTTTGTACATTATTTGATAGAATCATTGATCATAGCAGTTTAAACATACAAAATGCTGCAAGTATTAAACATTTGCTAGACACAGCAACATAATCATATCAAGCTATAAAAGCAATGGGAATACTAATTAAGGATGCAGATCCCTTTATAGCAAGAATCCTCTAACGAAAACTGGACAAAGAAGGTTTGCTGAGGTACGAACAATGCGTTTAAAAAACAATGGAGGTTCAGACAGTAAAAGATGTTATGGCATTTTTAGAGCAACAATATTTAGTGCTGGAATCGGTTGGCTGCAAAAAAGAAAATATTACAGGCCAAAAAGTAAAATCAGCAAATGACTTTTAAATTTCTCAAAACGTATGTTTTGTAACATAATAGGTCACTCTGTTTTTGAATGCCGGAAGTTTACTCAGTTATCGGTAATTAATGAAAACTCCTGGATTAATAAAACTAAATTATGTAAAATATGTTTCGCACATAAAAGGAACAAGAAATGCTATAAGTTGAATAGAAAGTGTGAGCAATGTGGAGGGCAGCATCACAGTATGTTACACTTAAAAAAATTTGTGCAAAATAAACCGCAAACTAGTGCTGGCGCAGCTGCAAGCATGATTACCAAATAAAAAAATAAAATAGTGCAATCACTTTGTTAGCAACAGCACAGATTCAAGTAGATTCAGCAAGTGGTGAAAAGGTTTTGTTAAGAGCACTGCTAGATCAAGGTTCACAGAGGACCTCAATTTCAGAGGAAGCGGTACAAATATTAAGGTTACACAGAACTAAATCGAGAACAGATCTGATTGGACTAGGAAATTCATTAGTAGGAATATTAATATCAACTGTAGAAATCGTAATTCGTCCAAGATTTAAAAGCAATAACAGTTACAAAATAAAAGCTATGATTCTTAGCAAGCTTACATCAGCACAACCTAATAATTCTTTTAAAGAAGATTTAAAAAAATGGGACAATTAGTGTTTAGCTGATCCAATGTTCAATAAATCTGATCGAAAGATGTAGTGCTTGGAGCAGAAATCCTCGCCGAAATATTGCAACCGGATTTGAGAAAATGAGGTAAAATCTTAGGTCAAGAAACTTCCCTTAGTTGGATATTATCTGGAGTAATCAACACAAGCAGTACAGTCACAACTATAATATCAACAGTTACTACAGACGTTGAGAGGTTTTGGGAAATTGAAGAAGTGCTTGTAGCTCCTGAAAAAAATGAAATTGATGAAGAATGTGAAAATTTGCTTAAATCAACAACAACATTAAATAAGGAAAACAAATTTATCGTAAAATTACAATTTAAAAAAGAAAACGAACTAGGACACTCAAAGAAAATGGCTATTGCCAGGCTTTTGTGTTTGGAAAAAATATTTAAAAGAAGTTCTAAGCTGAAAGCAGAATATGTCAAGTTCATGAATATATGGATATGGGTCACATGGAGAAAGTTTCCAAAATGATGTTTGGTAAATTTCATATGCCTCATCAAGCTATAATTAGAGATGACCATTCAACAACAAAAGTTCGGGTAGTATTTGATGCTTCAGCAAAAACTACTAACGGAAAAAGCTTGAATGAAATACTACACACTGGATCTAAGCTACAACTGGATATATTTCAACTACTAATCAAATGGAGATTGTGCAAATATGTTATGACAGCTGATATAGAAAAAATGCATCGGCTGGTGTTGGTAACAGAAGAGGATCAGCCATACCAAACTATCCTATGGCGTGAGGATCCGAAACAAACCCATAGAAGAATTTGTACTGAAAACAGTAACATACGGAAATTCTTGTGCACTATTCTTGACTAAAAGAGCTCTACTAGAAGTTGCTCATGATTGTGTGAATCAAAATTATATCAGGTAATAATAAGACTATGATTGATCTTTTATGCTACAACAGACCCTAACTGAACAAAAGACATTCCGCCTTTCGAATGAAGGCCAAAATGTCGGTTGTTGAGGACTTACTAATGTCGGAAGGTGCTAGCAATTCCCTACCCAGTGATTTCCTCCTGGCCCAGATCAAAGCTGGGCAGTTACATACAATGTGGCTGGTTGTCTCCTCTGCCTCCAAGCAGAGTCTACAATTATCTCTTCGGATAGGCCCATTTGGTTGAGGTGGTAACGTAGCCAATGGTGACCCGCTATATATCCCACTAGCAATCTCAAATCTGTTCTGCTAAATGAGGATATCTTATTATAACTATAGCTCTTTAGCCTGACGGTTACTTCGACTGCCAGTAGCGACTTCTCTCGGCAGATCAAATCCGATTATTGATTAGAGACCTAGTTGTAGACTAACTTAATCCACAAAAAGGTTGTGGGCCACAGATTAGAGTGGCGGATCCTGCCCGTGCAAGACTATCGGCAGACTCATAACCATTAATTCCTGTGTGACCAGGCACCCAGCACAGTGTCACTTTATTATTGCTTGCCAGCTGCTGCAGTGTGTCATAGCAGTCTGCTAGAAGTTTTGAGAAAAACTTCCAGGAACATAACGCTTTGATTGCTGCTTGACTATCTGAATAAATACAGATCCGGGCGCCTTTCAACCCCTTGTTAATGTTGATACGAGCGCAGACCTCGATGGCGTGAACCTCTGCTTGGAAGACAGTGGGCCATATAGCCAGCGCGAGCGAGATTCTGGTGTTTGGACCAAATATTCCAGCACCAACTCCTTCTTTGGTTTTCGAACTATCAGTATACCACGGTATCACTTTTGGTTCGAGTCCAGGAGTGCCATTTACCCAGTCCAATCGATCGGGTATGAGGACTTCGAACTTCCTACCGAAGCGAAGTTCGATGTTCCTGCGATCTGTCCTATCGCAGATCTCTATACCAGGAACTAGTCTGTAGATAGAGTTTTGACTGACGAGACTTCCGTGCATGTTGATGACAGGGTGTAGCCTAGCTGCACTCATAGCTGCTGTCTTTTTAATAAAGAGGTGCAGAGGGGTGAGACCCACTACAGACTCTAGTACTGATGTGGGACATGTTCGAATAGTTCCCGTCATAGCGATGCACACGAGTCTTTGCAGTTTATTGCATTTGACTATTGCAGCATTTTGTTGTGCTTTATTCCACCAAAGAAGAGCTGCGTAGGATACAATGGGTATGACTATTGTGCGGTATAACCATGATATAATTCTAGGGCTTATGCCCCAGGTTCTACCATATGAGGTCCTACATGTCCACATGACCCGGGTGGTTTTGCCAATTATATTATCCAGGTGAGTGTTCCAGTTAAGACGCTTTTCTAATGTGACCCCTAAAAATTGGATTTCATCGGAGCATTCAATAGCCGTATCTTTAATAGATAGGGACCCAATATTTACTTTGTACCTTCTGAAAATGGTACAATTACCGCTTTTTTGGGTTAATACTTAGGCCTTCTTTGGTACACCAGTTCGAGACTTTGTGTAATGCCGCCTGCATTACATCTGTAACTGTGGTGTCAAATGTACCTGTGACAATGATTGCCAGGTCATCTGCGTAACCTATGGCATGATATTCCGATTGCTTTAGTTTAACTAGAGTTAAACTCTAGTAAGGCGATCTCTTTAGATTGAAAGGTGCTTTCAATTTTGCTGACTAAATGATACAGCGCGACCTCCGTAGATTTGCCTTTTGAGTAGGCATATTGGGTGGAGTGGAGTGGACAGTTTGTTCCAATTTATTCTGTATGTACAGATCAATTAGCCTTTCGACGGTCTTCAATAAGAAAGACGTAAGACTAATGGGTCTGTAGGACTTAGGTTGGCCCATAGGTTTGTTCCCAAGTTTGGGAATAAAGATCACGTTCACTCCTCTCCAGGAATGAGGGATATAACCCATAGTAAAACAAGCCTTAAAGAGTCTTATTAATGGATCTATAATGATATCTATGCAATTCTGTAATAGAGCAGGATAGATATCATCGCCTCCAGTCGCCTTAAATGGTTGAAATGAGCTGATCGCCCATTTCACCTTATCCCTGTCGAAGATAACACCAGATAGTGCGTAATCCTGACATGTAGGAGCAGTAACTTCCCTATATGAATGTGATGTTGATGTTGATATGAATGTGATGATTGCTGGTAACGGAGCCAGCGAAGTGTGTTTGCAAGAGAAACTCGAGGGTATCTTTACGACCAATTGTGAAGGATCCGTCGGGTTTTTTTACTTCATTTGTTTTGACCTTATTTAAAGCCTTGTGTAGTCTAGCAACTTCAGGCAACTCATCAATACTATCACAATGGCTACACCAGCTGGCCCGTTTGGACTGTCTCATTGAATTGTTGTAGTCGGTACGCGCAGCTCTATAATATTCCCAACTACCAGAGCGTTTAGCTCTATTGAATAAGCTCCTTACTAGTTTGCGCTTATTAGCTAGTTGCGAGTTTCACCAAGGAACCTTACCTCTAATTGAAGCATTGCCTGTAACCATGCTGTTGTGAAAGGAGGTTAGTAATACCTCACCTAAATGGTTTGCGGCCAACTCTATCTCTTCACAAGTTCTTAGTGGCCTAGCTAAAGAAAAATTTTCGGAACCCACCAAGTCCCTGTACCAAAGCCAGTTGGTTTTCTTTGGCCGGTACGTTTTATTTTGCTGTTCGGATATACCGAGAATTTCAAACCTAATATGTTGATGGTCTGAGAAGCACACCTCGTCCGACAGATGGCAAGGTGCAGCATCTAATCCTGCGTCAGTCTGCGAATCACCTTCCACCGTTTGGTGGAGAATTTGTTTTGGGTACCAATGGTAGCCAAAACTTTTTCGTTTGACAAAGTCAAACTTTGGGGAAAATATCCACGAACTACATGAGTTCGTGGGAAATCCGTTTACTTAACCATGTTAATGGCGAGCCCGCATTTGGCCCCTATGTGACCAGAAAATCGCTTGACCCACTCCGCGGTTTTTACATCGCTGCAGACGATAAGTAGCCACCCCGTTTTAGGTAAACACCCTTCGAACTCCGGCTGCATATCGTCGCAATGTTGTTCTATAGCAGCATCAATAATCGCCTCCTGGAGACGCGTTATTTGCTCTGTAGAGAGCGAAGTGCCAGCTGGATCTGCTGACGTGAATCTTAAACGTACGCCTTTAACAGCTAGGCTGTACGATAGCTTGGTGAGCCCCACATGAACCACCTTAGGTTTTTTGGCGGAATCAAACCAGGGGATTGCTCCTCCGATCTGTCCCACTTGTTCGCAGGCGGATGTTGCATAGCGATTTTTAGAGCCTCTGCCCTGCTATGGCCTGAAGACATAGCCGCCTTAAACGTTCTTCGCTCACTTCTTTTAAGGTGAGTAAATTTTGGGGATTCCAAAGTGAGGTTCCCAACTTTGGAGCCAACGACAGTTAAACCGGATTTTTGTGATACCACACTGCCGGTGTCGGAATCACCACACTCGGCGGCTTCGAAATTTGAAGACAAGACCTCAATAATTTCCTCCGCTTTACCTGAGATCGCGACGAAGTTACTGCTGGTGCGTACACCGTTTCCGCAAGCGGAGAAGTAGACAGTGGCCCATCCGGGTCCATTTTGACGCACAGAGTAGCGCTGCCAAATTGGGTGGAGGCTTCCAGCCCAGTGGCCGGCACACACTCAGCTACAGATAATTCCGTAAAGGAATCATTTAAAGGTGATACCGTTAGAGTGACATCAAGCTCATTTGAATTTATATTATTTAAATTTTCCATGCAAAATTTTTATATATTCGGGTCACCCACGACATAGCCCGTTTATCGTGAGAAGTCTAATTAAAACTAGAGGTCAACAGGTATTCAGAGTTCGCATATTAAAGACCAACTATCCATGGCCATTCATCCCTCGGCATATGCTGTTTCACCTTGGATTTGAGCTTTGATTTAAGACGCTTTTACATGCGTCCGCCCGATTACAATTAGCCAGCACCCATAGTAGAGACATGACCACACTATGAACCTATTTCTAGCCGTCCCTGCGTAGAGGATGTCATCACACTACCGACAGTGTACAACAGTTACGGCACATACACAAAGTACGTGTTTATCCCCTTGTGTATCTGATGGCTGACGGCCATTATATCAGGTAATAAATAATGATTTCTATATGGACGATTTGATGACATATTCAATCCGATATCAGTCAGCAGCTAAAAAAGTTTAAATTTCATTTACGAAAATGGGTGGCAAACGAAAAGCGAATTTTGGGTGAAATTCCGAACTCTGAAGACAATTATATAATTAAAGTAGAAGAGGAAGAAGCTATTAAGACGCTCGATGTACAATGGGAACCGAAATCAGATCATTTTACCTTTTACATCAAACCAGTAGATAGTACTAACATAACTAAACGCAAGGCACTGTCTATATTGGCTCGAATCTATGTCGTTGACACCAACGACAACCATGGCGAAATTATTTATACAAAAGCTATGGCTCATGGATTTGACGTGGGATACGAAACTAGACATTAGATTATCACGAGAATGGAATGCGATTGTTTCAATGATTTCTACTGTTAAAAATATAAAAATTTCTAGATGGATATCAACGTTAAGTGACACAATGCTTGAGCTTCATGGGTTTGCGGACGCTTCAGAGAAGGCTTATGCAGCAGTAGTTTATGCTAAAACTTCTACTGCTATTATGTGGAGCTCATCTACTAGGACAACTTATGAAAAGCATTAAAGAAGTTATAAACCGAGAAGTCAAAATATATGCTTGGAGCGATTCAACGATAGCATTATCATGGATCAACAATAAAAATAAAATTAAAGATAAATTTATTTGGAATCGGGTAAGAGAAATCAAGCAATACATACCTTCGGCAACATGAAAGCAT